AACATACTGTTTATAAAGGTACCATGCCTTTTTTACGCAACGCAGCTGGTGGCATTCCTCTGCGTATTACCTGCGCAAGAACTGCAAACCATTCTTCGAGGCAAACGGTGCACATTTGCGCCCGGGGCGCCCGTTCTAGTGCCGACCATCAGGACATTAGATCAGACTGTGAAAGAGTGTACCATGTAATCTCAAGGACTGATGCAGGGCTCGCGGCCTCGGTGGCATTCCTCTGCGGACTGCCTGCAGCGTTAGAATGAGCCACTTCTTAAGGCGAACGGGCTTGAATTGAGCCCGGGGCAGCTGTTTTAGTGTGAGAAAACACCGAAAATTAGCGAATTCAGAGAAACGCTGGGCTACAAAGTCACCGAATGGCCTACCATCAGATTCAGAGGGGGCAGTCCTGTGGTAAACGGTTGCCCGCATCGATCGCGCCTATTTTCGGGGTAAACGGCCCAAAACTCAGGCCAGGGCGACTGTTCTAGTTGGCGGGGATCAAAACTGACCGAAAATGGAAAAAAAAATCGGCCGCACCCTCCGCAAACTGCTGTAAGTCCGGTCTTGCTGTACAATGAATTCTTCAAAAGCAAATCTGCAGTGGAAAGAACTTTATCAGGGAGTTAAGGTTCAACCAGCGATTCCCGGAGAACTCCGGAGTCCTCGGACAACTTCGGAACACGGAACAATCCGTATCATGATCCCGTTTAGCTCCTCTGTCCACGACAACAATGAACGCTCATGAACGTACTTATGCTCAGGCGACACGATCCATCCCATCCTCTAGGCCTCTCTTTGACTTAGCTCGACCTATCTGCCGTTTCGGTCTCAGTGCAAGCCTTTCAATTGCCGTCGAATGAGAATCCGCCTTTGAACAACCTTCAAATCACACTCCCAATTTCTAAAGATTGGCGGGAAACAAGGACTCGAAAGTTCAGAGTCAGGACAACAGCTCCTGGAAATTGCACTGAAAAGAATGCTCGAGGCACTTACTGCTGTACAGTCCGAAACTGAAACGCCGCTCAGTGCTCTCGTATTTAAGCGTCCGGGATGCTCCAGGGCCAGGCGTACTCATCGCCAGCAGAAACCGCCTGCTGCACAATTTTGAGAAGGACGCGGCGAGCAGAATGTCACGGCCTTCGTTTGAAATAAATCATGCCATTATCATGGTGTGTTCGACATCCTCTGCACTGTTCTTCGTTAACCGATCTGCGAGTTGCAATCATTTGAGATAATTGTGGCACGACACAGCATGTGCGATGGACCAAGTCTCTAGCGACCAGAACAGGTCTACTGAGGTACGTTCAAATCCCCGCTGACCGGCGATCAACGAGAACAAGCAACGGTCAGACAGACCTCATCTGCATTAAAGCTTATTCCGAGGGGAAGTTCTTCAACCTTCCCTTCCCTCAGCTGACGGTGGTGAATTGAAATTTGGAATGTACGGGGCAGGTGCGCACCACTTCTTCTAGAACACTCTCAAATAAATACTGGAAAGTGGCTTCCAGGACGGCATCCCGATGTACACAGCAAAGTGTGATCCGGTCAGTGCTGTTTCCAAACTCTTGACGTTCCCGGGCAGCGACTACTCCCACCTCCCACTGTCCGGAATCCCCAACAGCGGCGATCATGCCCTGCCTCTGCGCGGCCCAGACTTAAGATCAGGATGCCAGCAGAAGGAAGGCTCATAACGCCCCATCCTCGTTCCCCCCATGCCCGCCGCCAACTACACCATCGACGATACTGAACCTCTGATCCAGTACGCGCAGTTGGATGACTGGTCGGATAGGACAGACGACGACTTATCCAACACACGGTACGCATCGTCGATGAATCATCCTTATCCGGAACTCACAGGGACAACCTACTCAGCTATTCCAACAATGGGACGTTCACCGTCTGCAGCACGAAACACTGCTCTGCGACATTTGCTTTCAACGGCACGCAAGTGTGGATATATGGATCAAAGCGAAAAGACCACGGTCCGTCCGTTCACTGTCGCTCCAGCTGATGTCCCTCTACTTACTGCAAGACTGACATATGGGCAGGGTATTACAGCGTCAGCCTGGACGGCAAAACCACGGAATATGACGGTTTCGCTGACCCCGACGACTACACCTCGTTGTATGACTCGGGTTCCTTAAGTGAGGGCCGCCATACGGTGATTATCACGAATATCAGCAACGACACGACTCGACCGTACATTGATATCGACTACGTATGCGAATCGATACCGTTCTTTCCAACCTGAGCTCACTTGTCTCAGATTACCTGGTCAACCGACGCCGCGGTTGTCGCACCGAATATCACACTAAAGGATACAGCTTCTCAGATCTCTTACAAGCCCTCGGATTCCTGGAAGACCAACTTGCCCGATGATATGTCAGGATTCCAAGACGACAGCGGCCAGTCACGGCGGCGATCAAAATCTGTTTCCGTGGGAAATCTGGCGAAGAACTATAAAATACAATTTCCCACCCATTTGTTTCCCAAAGAAGAAATTGAGAAATATTCAGAATGTTTCCTGCCAAATTTCCGGTGGAAACAGATCTGATCTTCCCACGGGAAAAATCTGAGAAAACTGCTAACTTTTTCCCGCAGATTATCCGCGGGAAAAAGACAACATTTTTCCAAAGGAAAAGATCCGGCCGGAAATTTCCGTAGGAAAAAGTCAGTCTTTTTCCTGAAAAATTACTATATATGGTCATTCCTCAGGAAACATGCTTTCTTTTTCCTATGGAAATTTCCGGCCAGATCTTTTCCTTTGGAAGAACCTTGCCTTTTTCCCCCAGATAATCTGCGGGAAAAAGTTAGCAGTTTTCTCAATTTTTTCCTGTGGGAAGATCATGTCTGTTTCCAGTAGAAATCTGACAGGAAAAATTCTGAATATTTCTTAATTACTTCTTCGGGAAAGATCTGGGTGGGAAACTATATTTTATAGTTCTTCGCCAGATTTCCCACGGAAATAGATTTTGATCGCCGCCGTGAGTACGTTGGTTTCCTCAGTTATCTTTCCCCACGGCATTTAACCAACTCCTCGAAGCTTCACCGTGGAAGAAAATGCAGCCGCAATCCTATCCTTCTCTGTGGGTCTCTCATCCTGCCGCTACACGCAAGTATATAGGCTGTCATTTGGCTCATTACCACTTCTTCATATAGGGCGACGCGATAACGCTTTATGGCGCAGTTGGTCCCAACTGCAGTCCCTACAGCATCAAAGTCGACGGACAATCAATGGGCAACTTCAGCGCCACGAGGCTCACGTACGGCGCTCAGAAACAACTCTACTACGCGGATTCCCTCGGTGCTGGAAACCACTCGCTCGAGGTCACAAACCTGCCGAGCTCAACAGGCACGGGACAGCAGCTCGCCATCGACTTCGCGCTGGTTGCGGGGCTTCCTTCTGACGCCCCCACCTCCACCAGCACCTCCACCTCCAGCGCTTCCGCCAGCAGCAGCAGCAGCAGACCTCACGAACGGATGCCAAGGTGCGAACTGTTTATCTGCTCTAAAACTCAAACTCACATCCATACACCCAGTACCTTCCGAACCGTCGGCATAATCGCCGCCTGTGTCGCCAGCGTCTGTCTGGTGGCAACCATCGTCGGCCTCTTCGTCCGTCATAACACCAAGCGCAAACGGCGGGAGAAGGCGGTGGGGCGGAACTCGGACATTTCAGCATTTATGAATGCCGCTGGTACTCGCAGCCCGAGTGCTAGTGTCTTCGATGTGGAGAAGTCTGAGCCCGAGCACGGGCCCGAAGCTGACCGCGAACCTGAATCGGAAACAGCGCACCTCTTGGACACACGGAGTACCGCCTAGTGTTGTCTGTGCGCAACATCTTTATTGTTTCGGCATTTCTGCTTTTTTCGGTCTTTGTTGCGAGAACATTGATGGGCTCGCACCGCTCCTTTCCCACCCGAAGCTCCTCAAGGGAACTGCGAAGTTCATCGAGACTACGGGCCGGTTGACATGATCATCTAATAACGCGTCACCCAATCTCTCTCGTTTCCTCTCTCCTCCACCTCCCTCCCCCTGCTCTCTCTCCCGTTCCATCGCATATATACATTACATTCTCACATAATTACATTCCTTTATATACCCTCTCACAACCCCGGCACGAATCACGTTTCCTCACCTACGACTCGCGAACCCCATGTAGAATTACATCGACACGTCTTACAATCCTGGATACCTTATTTTACACACGGACTCTTTAGAAAAAACGACTCATATAACACACCAACGACACCCTTAGAACCACCATACGTACTGCTATCGTAGGCCTAACCGCCCGTATATAGTGACAAAATTGAATAATAATCATCATCATCATCATCAGCCAGTATGGACGGAACAATGGACCTGTATTACATTCACAGTTCGTAACATATTTATATACTTAGTTCATTTTGGATTGTTGTTTTCGTGCAGCGTTGATATCATCTCAGTAGCGGCATATATCGTAGATTCACGTACATTGTGGGAAGACAGTCCCCAGGAAGTATCTACTCACCCAATCGCCACAATATGGGCCGACTCCAAAAGTGACGGGACTACAGAAATTGATTGAGCCCCGGCTGTTCTGCGAATTTCTAAAGACATGCAGTGAGGAGAGAGGGAAAAAATCAAAGCAAAAAAGAGCGGCATACTTGTAAGCTGACGCCCAACACCCGACCCGACTCGAACGGAGATCTCCTGCCCACTACAGTGCGGTGTCCTTCTTTGATGATGGGCAGGGGCACTTCATTGTGCTATCAGGTCTGAGAGTCCATAATTTCAAGCTCAATAAGCCGGTGACATTTTGAAGTGGTTTATGCCTGCCCAGAGAAAGAGATTCATCGTCCCGCATCGAATCGTTCTTTGCACGGAAATCATTTCTTCTTTCTATCTGGCCACACAACAGCACTCTCCGTGCAACACATGAATGCATTCCATGATTGAACAGCAGAGAACAAAAGCTACATCAAAAAAAGAAAGAAAAAAACCTCATTCGCAGCTCAACACCTGACTCCGAATCGAACAGAGATCTTCTGCCACGCATGAGAATTTGGTTCATGATCTGAAGCAGATGCACTGACTTTGTGCTACCAGGTTTGTAAACTGGTATTTTGAACTTGATTATACTTATATCTGGGCTGCTGCATTCTGTGGCTGTCTGTGCAAGCAAGTTGAGCGTTGGTTCAAATCTTTCCTGAAGCGGATGAATGTTCACCATTCGGAGCTGAGAGAAGTAATTTTATTAAGACATGCAATGAGTAGGATGGGGAAAAAAATGGAAGCAATAATAGCAAGAAAGAAAGAGAACATTCGGCCATGACCTGACCCCGACTCGAACAGGGATCTTCTGCCGATACAACGGGGGATTACACGTTACCAGAAACAGATGCGCTGCATTGTGCTATCAGGTCTGAAACCTACTACTCTGTATCTGATTTTGTGGGCAGCCTTTTCATGGGATTCGCGAATCGCCAGACATGTTCGCGGGTACCTTGGGTAGCGGAGAAAGATAAATATCAAATTGCCAAGCGGAGAACAATTGTATCGGTGTGGTCAGCACAGCAAAGAGCTTCGTAAACGCAGCGTCAAGAATCTGTTCATTCAAACGTTCCGTTTCTTGCATAGATTTCATGCTTGGAGGAGGAAATCAAAAATTCAATGCCTTCATATGACCTGACCCCGACTCGAACGAGGGTCTTCTGCCAGTTCAACTTGTACGGACCTTGACTACGATAGGCAGACGCACTTCATTGTGCCACCGGGTCTGTAATACCGTAATGTGAAGCCCATTACCTGGGCACCAATTCTGAGTGGTAAATTTGGAACAGATTTCAGGGTCGAATTGAATGCAAAACATGTTGGGAATTCGGGTACGTTGGGCATCAGGTGAAGGGAAGCTAACAAAATAAAGTGAGCTTGTCAGTGCTCGTGAGAGCTTTGTGAGCGGAGATTGTATACTGTACTATTAAGTTCAGTTCGACAGTCACGGGTCACGGGCACCCTTGTCGGTGTCGAACTTTGGTCAATGTCACGCGTCACGCCGGGCTGGTGTCGAATTGGTCCCACGGTTCGAAAAAAATCTGAAAATCGGCTGCAATGTCAGTACCTCACATTTACAGTGAATATAGTTGTAAAAGTAAGGTTTTTCAGAGAAATCTGGCTGAAATAAGCCTTGATGCATTGTTTGGAGGAGAAATATGAGGCAAGTGGCTCATAACTGATCAGAAATCCATGTATGAAAGTCAGATTTGGTTGAAATTTCAATTCTAGTCGCCTCCGTCTCCAATAACATCCCTGAAAAAAATAATTGACCCGGGGAAATTTTCGGAGGTCTGTCGAAATTTTGCCGCTTGTCACTGTCACCCCTGCCCGCTGTCGAATGTCGAACATGGTTCAAATTGTCACGGGTCACACCCCGTGTCGAACTGAACTTAATAGTACAGTACTTGATTCCTTCCTTCGAATGATCCGATTCTTTGATAATTTAACGCGGATGTACATCGGTTGTTGAGTGTATGCACAAAAGAAAAAAAAGAAGAAAAATCAACGAGCCACGGTGATGACCTGACTCTGAATCGAACAGGGATCCTCTGCCAGGAGCTTGTACGACGCCCACGAGAGACAGACGCACTGCATTGTGCTACCAGGTCTGTGACTATGTGGTTCGGAAGTCATTTCATCGACGAACTTTTCCGGACCTCCCTGTATTGATGTAACACGGTGTGGAAGTCCTTATATAAATTGAAACCGGGGCTTGACTCTGAATTTTTTACATCGCTGGAAACTCTTAGATGCAGTAGCGAGAATCAGGTTGAGACGGGGCCGGCATTGATTCTATGTTGGTTTTTTTGTGATTCCGCAAAACATACTTACGCATATCTGCTCGAGACTCTCTGCCATCTTCGACAATCAAGCTCTAAATCAACCTAAACCTCGTCATCCCCAAGAAAAAGAGCATATACTGGCTTCCATAATGCTTCGAGGTGGGATGAACCAAGCCATAACGAGATTCATCCCAAATAATCTCTAATAATTTTCCGCCGCAGCATGATGATCTATCAGAGCAGCCTATAGCTAGCCATAATCTAATCCCACAACCAGATTGTTCGTACCCTTCCTCGCGTTCAACCCAGCCCATCGTTTCAACCCCACACGTAATCATAGCGGCCTAATGCATACGCAAATCCATTTAGGCTCTGATGCGGCGCGGATCCACCGGCAATCTAAACCGAAAATCCCCGCCATCTTTTTCGCCTCTTTCTCTCTGCCACTCCCATCCCGCCTCCTCCGTTTGCCTCCGCATGCCGTCCCAAAGCCAAACTCGCGACCAGCTCAACCTCCCTGGCATCCACGAGATGTTCCCCGAGCACCTCGCTGCGAACGGTGGCCTCGTGGCTGGTAGTGGTAGTCATGGCCACCTTTCGCCGCAGACGATGCACGGCTATGATTCAGAGTACTCATTCGACGTGCTGCGGAACGCACACGCACCAGCGTTGTCATCATCCTATATCGCGGGCTCGTCGTCCTCCAGAGACGCCGCGGAGTGGGGCCAGAGTCCGATGGCGGATATGGGAGACGCGGACGACGGGGAGAGCATCGGAGCGGGCGAGCCGAAACGGCATGTGTGTACGACGTGCGGGAAGCGATTCAATAGGCCGAGCAGTCTGCAGATTCACGCGAATACGCATACTGGCGCGACTCGTGAGTTGTCCTTTCATGAATCTGTTTTTCTTCGATTCTTTTCCCCGCCGAAGACGCGACGTTCCAGTACTAGTTTTTGTCCTTTCGTCTCTTTCTTTTCCTCTTTTCTCCGGATGTTTTCCTTCGCCGAAGACGCGAGGTTCCCACTTGGAACAACGTCCTTACTGGGTTTCCCTTGCTTTCCCCTCTGTTCTTCCCTCCAGTTGTTTTTTCTTCGCCTAGCGATCAAACGATGTTTTTTTTTTTTTTGCCTTGACTTGGTCTAAATCCCATATATCCTCTTGCGGGGTTCCCTTTTACGATCGACTGACATATACCCTCTCTCCACACAGCCTTCCTTTGTCCCCACCCCGGCTGCGGACGCGCATTCAACGTGAACAGCAACATGCGGCGCCACTTCCGAAATCATGGCGGCAGCGCCGGCTCTACTCCACCTGCCGCGCCTCGCACGCCAGCGCCGCCGAACCCGGAGCTCCTCCACGCATTCGACGCGGACGTTCCGTTGAATGACTGCCAATCTAGCTCTCACAACTCGAACAACTCGCGATCCAGCTCGAACCACTCCAACTCCCCCTCCGCCGCCTCGAGCTCCCTGCACGAATTCAACAGCAACGCGCCCGCTTCATCTGTGTCTGCTTCCCCGCCCGCGCCGCGTCTGTACCTGCCTGACTCCGATTGCGGGCCGTCTTCGTCTTCCCACTCGACAGCTTCCTTATCCCACGCAACCGCTACGAACCCAAACCACGCTCCGTACTACCCGCCCCTCCCGTCGACTTCGTACTATCCACAACAGCACTGGCCGCACGTCGATCCGTCCGAAGGGGATTACTACGCGCCATATGCATCCAGCAGGAACGAGCCGTATGTGTCAAGCAAGAATAATGAGCCGTATGCATCGGCGTCCGGCAGGAATAACGAGTACTACGTCTCACCAGACGCGACCGCGCTCCCTTCAACTTCCAGGAGCGAGTACATAGACTATCCTGCGGACGATCTGGGTGTCGATGTGTGGACGCCGGGCCCCGCCCGCGCCACGTCGCCTTCGCACTCGCACGACAACGCGTCGCACGGGCTCATGCTGCCCCGACTCGGAGCGTGGAACGCGCAAAGCCCCAAGGCGGCGAACGGGAACCAGATGGGTTTAGGCTTGAGCTACTCCGAGAGCGACGTGCGGAGCGAACGGTGGTAGGGATGTGAGGAGTGAGAAATGGTAGTGCATAATTCCTTTCATTTCAGACAGCAGCAGCAGCGTTTCTGCAGAGGCCAACCCATTGCAACGCGGTACTCCATTGACATACAATAATCATATCTTGACACCAGTACCTAGCATAAATTCATAATACACAATACACGAAGACCAATTGAACGTTCAAACGATGAAGGAGGCTTCCGTATTCCATTCCACTCGGTTTTGCGTCCTTCTGTTCTTCAGCTTCGCCGAGTCTGAATCTTACTTCCGGCAATCCGCGGCACGGTGGCGTCTTATTCTGCTCACGAACATCAGTCTAAATCCGACTCTAACTCCAAAGACCTCATAAAACCGGCGGTGAGATGAATATAATATGTCCTGCTGGTGCGTGGACGCACGCCTGCATGTCGTGATGATCTATTGCTTTCAGGAGGACATCCCGTTCCGTTCGGGAGCAGGACATAGGTTTTCCGCTGGGCTTTTTTGCCTTTCGTTTTGTGCTTCTTGTGTGCCGGGAAAATTCCACTCAATCCATCACAGATTCTGGGTGGCAAATTGAATTAACGCAGAAAGTTGGGTCGCTAACAAATGACGCATTCGGCTCTCGACTTGAGATGCAAAGCGGGCATAGGAAGTGTTTGCGGGATTTTTTCCTCGACGTATCTTCAGAAGTTCAGCAACAATCTCTTTTGGCTTCCCAGATCCCTCATTGCCGAAGTGCAGCTCCGGATACCAAGAGGGGGTTCAACATGGAGCATTGAACATTTACCTACTGACTCCAACTTAAAATCCAAGTCACACAACTTAAAATCCAACTCACAGAACGAGGGACAGAACGAGTACCACACGTCCTGTTGGTGCGTGGATGCACACCCGCATTTCATAATGTATTTCCACCAATGTGAGCAGGGTGGCCCGTTCGAATCGGGGGCAGGAAGCCAGAAATAGTAGATAGCGAACAGCTTTTGCTCCCTGTCTTCAAAAATCCTGTTGATCCTAATGCTTCGGATCCGGAGCTCCATGAAACGATTAACACTGGACTCCAGATCCCACTCCTCCTTCCCTCACAGATACGTCGCCTATATCTACCATTTTTCACTCACGTTGATTACAAGCGTTACCCATGGTCGTTTCCACTGCTATTTTTGTGAGTGCATAATTACATGACGCTTAATGAACGCCTCCAATATGGAAACAGGAGCGAGAG